GGACCACTGATAGATTAAAAAAAATTATAACTCACCTAAATTTCCAAAGATCAGACATGTCACATAGAAAACAAAGTTGGGAGGTGTCATCGTGTGCAAACCTCTGTGTTAAATGAAATGAACCTTGACTTTTTTCCACTCTTTAGAAACAAGACAGCTTTTGATTGGCCATTGCAAAGCCATGTGATCTGCCCCCAGGATGAAATGTGTCTTCTGTGCATTTAACACAGACATTTGTTGCCTTTGGTAGAATGATATAGCGACAGGTCCATAATGGTTGTGTCATGGTTTTTTTGTTTTTTTAAAAATATATTTTTAGTCTAAAACTGATCATTACATAGAGTGTAAACACAACTGACAACATACTGTGGAACTTATTCCTGTTCATCATTTGCAGACTCACTAGAGACTCAGTAAGGCACCCGGCACTTGCTGGATGTTCGCATGATATCGATCTCTTTGTGACAGTATGACTGACACACTTCTCATGCTGTCCAGAGGAGGCAGACTGTAATGAGGTCTGTATACACCTTTTTGATGCTGTGAAAACTGCAAACAGATTTCAACTCACTTTCATCGTAGAAGTGAGAATAAAAGCAAATGTAACATGGTAGGTCTTTATGTTAAAAGGTAGCATGTGTTTTGTGTTCTTATTATTTCGGAAGGTCTGTTGCCATTACTGTATTTAATGGCTTGGAAGTCTTGTACCTAAGGTACGACTGATTCAGTACCATGATGACGTGTACCTAGTAGCTCTTTTGGTGCTACAACACATCTCCACCAACCTGACAGAAGGGATAATCATGACTAATGCTGAGCGACAGACTGAGGTAGAAGCTAGAGATCCATGATGCAAAGAAAAAAACATTAATATGTACTGAAAACATTTTTTCAGTACCTTAAATTAAATCTTTATGGACTGCCAAAGGAGTCTCTCTGCAGCTGAACAAAACTTGCATCAATAATAAAAACGTGCATGGTTTGTGGTGCAGCTGCAGGGGAGTGGAACTCCGTCAGCAATCATGGCTCACCTACATAAAAAGAATGAACTGGGTCCTGAGTTCATTGTTGTGTGTGTATAAGTGCAGCTGCAGCCGAGTGCTGAAAGTAATAGCAACACAAAAAAGTTGCCGAAGTGTACGAACTTTGCGGTGGGGTCCGTCATGCTTGCTACAGACATGTCAAGCATGCAAAGGAAAAATCAAATGTTATTTTATTTAGCTAACTTCCCCATTATGTTCAGTCCCTTAGACATCTCTGGATACAGTCTACTTCCTGTTAATAACCACAGATGCATTTAACAAAGATTATAAAAAAATAAGATTAAATAAGTGCCAGTATTTGTATGATTACCTTTGGGTAAATGCATTCCCTAGTTTTCTATGATCAGATAATTGAGGTCAGCTGTATCAGTCAGCCTCCCCTGACACTACATCCTGAACCCGTTGCTCCACCTCTCTGGACACAAAGCCAGGCACAAACCAACTCCAAAAACCACCTCACCTCATTTTTGCTCTTGGGATGCGTGCTTCTTCAGGTTGGCTGTGAGCTCCGCCTGCCTAAGGGACTCCAGGACTGCAGTCATCCACCGCACATGCTCTGCCCGGGTTTCACTGTGAATGATGACATCATCCAAATAGGCGGCAGCATATGTAACATGTGGACAAAGCACTGGTCCATGAGGCACTGAAGGTGGCTTGGGCTCCGAACAAGTTGAATGGAAGTATGACAAATTGTGTGGAGAAAGCAGTTATTTCCCTGTTGTTGTGAAAATGTGAGCAGTGCCTAACCAGTGCAGGAGTTTGTCAACCTGAGGCATTGGGTAGACATCAAACTCCTTGTGGTAGTCGATGCAAAACCTATGGGACTACACAACACATTGTGTGACTCTTCTATTGCTAATATTTTTAGCATTTTGGCCAATTTTCTCTCAATATTTGTCTCTTATGCTGGGGTAAGCTATAGGGCTGTTAATGCAACCTCACACAAGGGCACATTACAAAACAGTGCTCTTTGACACTGGTATGACAGGTCAGGGGGGATACACATCTGCAAAAGGCTTTCGCAAAGCAGCAACAGCTGCTCTCTGGGCCTGTGCGAGATGGTCATCATTATGGAGGGAGGTGGGAATGGTGGAATTAGGCAACTCCAACTTATTTCTCACCAGGCTTGGTAGAAAAGCTGTTTTAGCCTCTCTCCATGCTTTTAGGAGGTTGAGGTGATATATGTGTGTGGCTCCTCCCCTGTTTGAAGGCACCATATCATAGTCAACGTCATTCACTCACAGTGTGACCACAAAGGGTCCTTGCTACTTGGTGAGTAACTTGGAGCTAGAAGAAGGGAGTAATACAAACACTTAGGCAATTTTCACCGGGAGACAGAAGCTGCGTCCAAATTCAGGGGCTACATCCTTCGGACGCTGCATTTGTAGACCGATTACATGACAGCCAAGCAACGCAGGATGTCTCAGACTCCTCCAAATGCGGCCGACAAATGCATCCTTCATTTCCCGGGTTTGAAGGATGGGTCGGGTGTTTTGTTATATTTTAGATAGCAAGGAGCAGACGGCTGAGTTTATTAAACTCCACAGAGATAGCTGGTTACGCAAATCAGAGGCTAGACCGTCCCATTTTACAGCCTTGCACTTCCGGCCTTCGAAGGACATGTCCCACGGTGTTCCTCAATTTCAAGTCATATCATATATCATATCCCCATATATAAGTGGACAGCGGGGGTTTTGGAGCCTCTGCTATATTCTACAGGAACAAATCAATCCTTTCAAATATGCTTTACCGAGCTAAAATAGATTTATTTGATCATCAGTGAATTTGTACACAATGTCTCCATAATTACGTGAAAAGCAATAAGGATAAAAACAAGCACATTGTTTCATATATTAAACTTGTAGAAAAGTATCATTAATATCTCCTACAAATGCATTGGTACATGGAAAAAACAATGAAAGAACAAGAAAGAAAGGGGGGGGGGGAATCCTTGACATCACAAAAACAACAAACAGGGCAGAAGTTCCTAAATTTGTATCATTACAATTTTACCACAGTGAAAGTACAAAAATGTCTATGCTAAGAGACACCAATACTGCATTTCTCTAATAGATAAAGAAAATTAGCCACCTCATTTGCAA